CTAAGTCGAATGGTATTTCAATCAGATTTATACCTTGCTTCTTGCATATCTTCCGCTTTTTTTCATCATATACCTTTTGGTCATTTAAATCAATTTGACTTCGCTTGTGGAACATTGCATTCTGATGATAGTGTTGTACTCCTTGATACTTCCATGCTAGGCGCAATTCCTCATTATATCCATTGAGCCTTAGTCCATCCAAAAATTTATCTGAGCATGGTGGAAATTTCTTACCTAACAGATCTTCAAATATATATTGACAATTGCGCTCCCCTTTAAAATGAGAGCAAATTGGACACCACTCAAATTTCGTAGCTATTAATAGATATGGGTACTCAAATTGATGTTTACCATTCTGACATGACCAAAGGTATACATTCTGATCATTAATTTGACCACTTCTTCCAAAACATTCTCCACTGCGCTTGCTAGCATATTCATGAGCCCTGGCTAACTTGCTATTAGAATTTGGTCTGTAATAGAATACTATATTATATACACTATATAAGAGAAAAAAATATTTTTATCCTTAGGTATCTTTCTAAAAATAACATAAAATTGAACAATACTAGTTAAGATATAAGACCCAGTTCTTGTAATCTTTCTGGAATAATAATATAGGGGTCTTCATAATACCATACTTCGATAAGGACTATCTAGTTTTTTTCACAGAGTTCTCTTTTGAAGAAAGAATTTATAATATTTTTCATGCTGTTTCCCTTGTACTTCAATAGCAAAACCATAATAATAATATGAAATATTGAGTTGTAGACTTGTCAGGTGTTTAGGTGTTTTTAAAAAATCAGGTTTTTGAATTTTTGATGGTGCACCTAAATATTTTAATATGATTTCATAGCATAAATGCTCTTTTTTATATTTTTTACAGAATGGGCATCACGTATTTAAATTTTTAACTTTATCAAGATTTGCATACCATATATGTTTTTTATTACATTGCTATAAGAGTGGTGTGATAGCATTAATATATTTTTCAGAAAGACAATCACCTCCCATAGCATTTGCCACTTTTTTAGCAAGTTCAAGATTACAAGAATAGCGACCCGAACAATAAGGACACCATGTATTTAAATTTCTTACACATCTAAGATTTGTATTCCATTGATGTCCTTTAGTACATTCCCATAAAAGCGGAGAATTTATATCAATATATTTTTCTGACAAGCATTTACCTCCTTTATAATGTGCGATATCAATAGCAATATCAATATTAAGCTTAGAATATCCCGAACATTGTGGATACTATGTATGGTGAGATTTTATACTATCTAATGTTGCAGACCATATATGATTTTGGATATATTTCCAAAGTAATGGAGAATGACAATTAATATATTCTAAAGAAAGACAATCACTACCTCTGGAATATGCAATTTTTTTAGCAATATCAATACTAAATTTTCGACTATTATTCACAATAACAGGTTTCCGATTTTTTCTTGTGCATTTTGGATACCACATATTAAAACTTTTTATATTTTTTAATGATGACATCTATTCATGACTATTTGCACATTTCCAGTGCAATAGAGAATTATAATTAATATATTCTAATGAAAGACAACTTCCTCCTTTAGTATGTGCTAATTTTTTAACCATTTCAAGACTTCATATTTTCTGATCTTTCCATCGTAGACACTTTGGGCACCAGGTGGCACCATCTTTTATATCATGTAAGCGTACATTCCATTCATGATATTTAGCGTATTTCCATCGTAAAGGGGTATGATTATTAATATAATTCTCAGAAAGGTATTGTCCATCTCGACTTTCAGCAACTGTACAAGTATCTGCTAAAGATAGTTTAGTTCGCATTTTTTAGGAGTTGATTCAAGTATATTTGTATTTTTTTAAATTGGGATTATGGTATTTCTATATAAACTTATCTGGAGGATACTTCAAAGAATTTACATTGATTGGCATTAATTCTTCTCTTTTGAAAGGCCGATGTGGATTTCTACCTATCAAATAAGCAGTAGATTCAATTGGCTCATCCTCAAGATAGTATAAAACTGGCTATGGTAGATTTTTATCAACAATAACTTTTTTGATTTTATAGATATGCAATGACCACCACAGGTCAGTTTTTCTATGCATATGCCCTCCTTCTAGCTCACCGGGTTTTAATAGATATCTTACTGTGAGCCCCTTCTGTAATTGTGATTCATCCTTTCCAATAGATCTTTTAGGTTTGGTAGATACTTTAGGTATTACTTCTCCCAATGTCATTGCATATGATGGTGACATGCCTATTAATCGAGTTTTATTATTATTCATATAGTTGATAATTTTCTGAAGTATCTTGTTCCATAATTTCGAGCGTTCATCTTCTTTGAGTTTTCCCTCTATGGCATATTGAATCTTGTATATAAGTCTAGCCAAATCTTGTTTGAATTTTTTAACTAATGCTAAGCTCTCAAAGCTATAAAGATCGACAACTCTTATAGGAACATTATATCACTCTATTCTTTTCGCAAATGATCCTTTAAACTCACCAGCACCATCAATCATCAACAACGCTGGCTACTTGAGAGGATTTTTGGGATCATTGTATATTTTTTCGATCACGTTCCAAACCTCTGAGCTAGTCTTTGATATTAACACTACTGCACATTTATATCTAGTTGCTACACCTATCAACACCAAAGTGTGTAAATATATTTTTCTCTTTTCTAATCATCGTGGACATGGGGAGTAGGTCACATTGATGTAATTTATTAGGAATTTGGCATTTAGAAAAGCTAGCCTGGGCCTTAATCTTTGGTGGGTATCGATATATCTGGTAATCATACTGATTCTCTAACCAGTTTGTGATATTTTTAAATCGAAAATGAGTATATCCTTCTTTTATACATATTTTTTGTATTTTTCTAGGATTGGAATAAAAGCCGGGCACATTATAGTAGATCATACGAAGAACAATTTGCAATTCCT